TAAAACTTGGAAGCAGCCCAATTGCCCATCAACTGGAGACTGGATAAAGAAAATGTGGTTTTTTTATAAAATGGAGTACTACTCAGCCATACAAAATGGGAAATTAGAGACATAGCTAAATGGATGCACATTGTGATGATACTCTTAAATGAAATAAATAAGAGACAGATGTAAATACTGAATAATTTCTCTGGTATAAAAAACTGAAAGTGTAGATAAGGATCAAAAGGCATACTAAATATTATGAAATAGGAAGAAAAAGTCCAAAGGGAATGGAAAGTTGGAAAGATTGGGGAAAGGAAAGAAGGGAATGGAATTAATATGAGAAAATGGAAAAATGGAAACAAAGTCTTTGTAAATAGGGAGGCATGGAGAGGTGAAGGGAGGGCAGGGGAAGGGGGCAAAATAAGAACCAAGATAGATTATGTAAAGGTGCAAATTTCCAATGATGAATGTCATTATATTGTATACCTAAAATGTACCAATAACATTAATCTTTTTAAAAAGAGCTATTCTACTGAGAGGCTGAAGATATCATGTAGTCTGCTGACCAGAGAGGCAGTCAGAAAATTTGGGAAGGAGAAGCAGTGAGATTGACCAACAGCCAAACCCACAAGTTCAGATTCTGTGGCAGTTTGTTTTCTGACTCAGATATTTGTATATTTTACATATAATATAAATATTGTAATTATTGAATTTCTTTTCTGCTATTACTTACTGCATGAAGTCTTTCCACAAGTTTCTGATCACCAAAGCAATTTTTTGTGTCAAACCATGAATCAAAGTCCTGTGGAGTGGTGAAAATCCTACAGTAAGTGCACAGGTTTTTTGAAATGAAGTTGACATTCTTATATGATCAATAGAGAAACCATTTTAAAAGTATACTTTCAAAACTATGTTAACTGTGATGGCCAGTATTACTTATTTGTGAAATAGGCAAAATACTGAATAGTTACCAAAATTTGGACCCGATTATAGAGGAATTCTGTCATCAATTTTTCATTAAGCAAATATTAGGCTTACACATACCCTAACAGTTAAGAAAGATAGGAGTTAAAAATATAAAATGAAGCTCCTATGTCCTTAAATCATTCAATTCAGCTTTCTACCCCAGCATAACTTTGTGAAAATGATAAAAATAATTTTAAAATCACAGGTTTACAAATTACACTATTTTTCAAATCACATTCTGAGCCTTTTGCATTCACCAAATGTTAAAATGTCCACAATAATCAAAGATTTTTTTTTTTGGTACCTGGGATCAAACTTGGGTCCTTGCACTTGCACAGCAGGCAGTGAAACCACTGAGCTAAATCCCCAGCCCCTCAAAGATTATTTTAAAGTCACTACCTGCCACACTAGTATACAGAAATATGTTACAAGATTCCCCCAATTTAATGAAAAGAAAATGTTGAATGCATCATTCTGAACATGCCCTATCTTGTAAGCTGTGGTAGTGATGTGTTATGAGCAAAGTTTAACTGGCTGGCTAATCTCAAAGAGGACAAACATGCTATTTCTTTAAATATCTACTTTTTGAATATTTTTTTTACTTAAGAATTCTTTCCTGAAAAAAATCAACACACAGAGATTAAGAATTACAAAAAAAAACAGCTATACATTTTAATCTATATTCTATGCTTTGAAAACAGATTTCTGTGAACATAAGAAAACATATTTAAAATACATATGGCTTGGGGCTGGAGATGTAGTTCAGTAGAGTAGTCCTGTGTTTGGTCCTTAGAACTATTACTACCTCAAAAAAAGTATGGCTTAAACTTACATCTGAAGAATTAAAGACATCAGGCAATAAAAAGTTGAGTAATGCCCAGAGTTCATGGAGATTATTCTGCAAAGGTGTTCCAGTTAGAAGTAAGCGGTTAGTCGACTTGAACTCACGAACAATTTCTGAAAGCTAGAAAAATAGATAAATAAGCAATGTTTTATTTATTGGAATGTTCAACATTTAGTTATACTTTATCTTACCAATACATTTTTTGAATACAATAAAACTTGAAAATTAACTTTCTGTGGGAAAATTTCCTAATTCAGGATGACACAGCTTCAGTAAAGCACAATTGAGCAAAATATTCTAAGCATTTCCACGCTTGAAAGAATGCAGATGACATTTATACCTGAAACCATTTCTCCTTCAAAATCTCTTCAAAAAATTTACTTTCTCTATTTTGGTTCCCAGAGAACAGTCAGAACTTTCCCATGGAATCCAAGCGATATAATAAAACCTCCCTCTCTTCACCCACCACATTCGTCTACCTGCCTAGCCAAGTTCTAACTTGGTCTGGTCACAAATTTTCAGTGCCAGAATTGAGTCCATTTTTCCTGATTTCTTTAACTTCCTAAATTTATGACCACAAAAATTATGACAAAAAGCATAAAAGAATAGTAATGTTAACAAAAATGCACGTTTTTATAATGCTCTTAAATAAACTCTAACATTCATCCTCTTATTAGGTATTGGTTCCAATTTGAAATTAGTATGATCCACCTGGTAATTTTGCTCCAGTTCTGTCCCTGTTTCTCCCAAAGTAGCCCAGTGATCCAAAGAGAGGTTCATCAAAATAACTGAAGCTTGTCCTACTGCTGATGGAGTTGAATGGCAAGAAATACTGATTTTTTTCAATGTTAACACCACACTCTAATTCTTACAAGTCAGATAATTCCAGGAAACTCTTTTTTCTGCCCATATGAATACATATAAGGTATCCTCAATAAAACAGTAAGCCAAAGAAAATGATATTTCTACCAGATAGTCTCAATATTAAAACAATGTAGCATAACAGAGTTAGGTTGCAATAGGAAGGTTAGCAAATGGACACCTAATTTTCTTACATTTGTGTTTTTGCTCAACTTTGTCATGTATTCAGTAACTTAGACTTCAAAACCACTTTTAAAAGTGATTTTTATTCATATTTCATGAATAAAACCACAATCTTCCATTGCTTTTTTATTCTGAATATAGAAAAGTGAACAAACAGACCTGGTAATTAAATGAAAACTTAAATAATGTTGAGAACTTACCTTAGATTTTTCATTTTTAATTCTGTGCGCTTCATCAATGACTACATATCGCCAATGAAACTTTTTAAATACAGATTTTTCTTTAATTACCATCTCATAAGAAGTAACACAGACATCCCACTCTCCTGGAATCATTTCATCACAAATAAAAGCAGCCTAGTGAAAAACAAAGTTCCTTATATTAGAAAATGCTGCCCCAGAAAGTATTAAGACACTAAGAATTAAGACCCCTGGGCCGGGGATTTAGCTCAGTGGCACCACGTCTGCCTCACAAGCACAAATTCCTGAGTTTGATCCCCGGTACCAGAAAAAAAAGAATTAAGACCCCTAAGGATCATTTAGTCTCGTCTACTTTAGACATGTGAAACTTAAGGCCCAAAGATACTTTTGTCGGCAATTATCTGGATGTGACACTAATATATTCACCAACAAAAGAGAAAAAAAGGCTCTCATGTGAGTGCAGTACATTCAATTAACTAGAAAAGTTCATATAACCAGAAGATTACTAAATTACTAGGCTCTGACTTCATATCACAAGGACACAAAGTAAGTCTTCCTGAATACCATATTCTTACAAAATCCAAGCATTACTAACATAATACAGTTTCAACAAATAGAAAGAACTCAATATACATTAGTAATTTCAACCAGGCATGTCCAACCTTTTGGCTTGCTTGGGCTATATTGAGTGAAGAGAATGTTATGGCTTGTGTCTTAATGTCCCCCAAAGCCTCATGCAGTCGTAGGTGGCGCTTTTTCTAGAACTGATTCATGGTGCAATGCTAGGCTCAAGGGCACAAAGACTTTGGGTGAGTGCTACCGGCCCTAAGTTATCTGCATAAGATAAAAGGGGCAGAAGGATGCTGTTGAGGACCCCTCCTTCTTCCCTTGTTGCTTTTGTTACCTTCTGGCCACTATGAACTGTCTCTACTCTGCAAGGCCTGTCTGCCACTCCACCCTGCCTTGGAGCCAGCCGATTATGGACTGAAACCTCTATGAACTGTAAGCCAAATAAACCTTTCCCCCTTTAACTTTGGGTGTCAGGTACTGTGTCTCAGCAACAAAAGAAAAGTAACAGACACAGAGAAATTGTGTTGGGCTATACATTATATATATATGTATGTATGTATGTTACAAAACTTCATTTTTAATGTTCTTATAATATTTTTATAAAGAAGGCAAGCAGTCTACAGACTGTAGGTTTTATATGCCTAAATTACTGTCACCCATTCAAGAACTCTCATATATTCATTCATTTCCTAGAAGAGATGAGTTATATATTTTGTTTAGGGATCACAGAAGTTCATTAATGTTTTTGAGAAGTTTCTCGTGTTATTGTAAGGCTACAAATGTGATTTTATAAAGAGGATTTGCTGTATCTAGTACAAGGCTATTTAAAACTGTGAAACTATTTAAAGCTATTTTTAAATCTTCACAGACAGTGGCCAACATGGTAGTCAAGTTGACTGAGAGCATTTTTAACTTGCAAGAACTGAATTCCAGACGGTATGGGTCAAAGTAAAACCACAAAATTTAACAGGGAAAGCAAAATCTATTTGAAAAAGGCTGATTAGTACTATAAATCTGAAGTTATAGTGCATAAACAAAATTAACTCTTCACTGCCAAGTCTTCATTTCACAATTCACACTGTGTACCGAATACACTGTGGACTCATTCAACAAATATTTATTGTGTCCGGTATATATGAGATTCCTGAACTGAAATAAAGGACAAGAAAAAAGCCTTTGTAGCAATCTCAGTTGCACCTTGAGAAACTATCACATTTTGAAAAATTTAAGTCGTAGGAATTTGGAAGGCAAAAAGAACCAGGGTGCAAGACTCCATTCAGTCCTGCTAACACCTTATCCTTGTTTGATCTTGTGAAATACTCAGTCTGATGGTTCCTCCTATAAGTTTCATGGGACAGATGTAAATTTTAATTTAAATTAGCTCTGCTTTGAAACTTTTGTAATTACTGCACAGATTTAGAGTTAAATATCTTTATAAAATATTAAAGGTCACATAATCCAAAAGTTCTCATTTTATAGGTGATAAGATTCAGGCCTTTTGAGACTCACTCAATGTCACACAATCAACAGGGAAGCCAAAACTAAAACCAATCTGCTTCCATATCCATTATCTTTGGCTACTTCTGCAGGTAGTTATTAAAAGAAGGAGTAACAAAACTATGATTGAGAATCATACTTCTATACATTTCAGGACTACTTCAGTATCATACAGTATCAAGAGTATCTCTAATAACTTCCCAACTGAATTAAATATGCATTATAGCCTATATAAAATTTTTATTAACAAAATATTCTTTGACCTCATCAGATGTTTACAGAAGGCCAGAAAATGGAAAAATTCGACATATCTACCCCATTTTGGTAACAAAGTTCAAATCTATATACAAATAATGCTCTAGACTTTATATAAACATCAATTTCTAAATATCAAATATGGTATATTAATTATTCGTGTGATTGATAATTAATGGTTTTAAGTATGTGTACCTAAAAAAAGAAGTTTCTCAAAACAATACTTATATATTATTGTGTTTTTTTTGCTGTTGTTGTTACCGGGGATCAAGCTCGGGTCCTTGTGCTTTCGAGACAGGTGGCGGAACCACTGAGCTAAATCCCCAACCCTCAAAACAATACTTATACTTACTATAGTATGAAACTGTTTATTTGCTAATTCATTCTCTCTCAATATTTAAAAAAAATTATCACCACCAAGTAAGCTGAATTCACAACACATTAGTGAGTGACAGCTCACAATTTAAAAAACATTGATTTCGTAGACAGGTTTTCAAGGTTAAGTAATTTTTCAATCCACCAGAATCTCAACCTTCAATGGGACAGAGACAGGATAGTCATGAATTAAATACTCTGCCTTTCAAACTCCTAGAGATACTTCATGAATCCCTTGGACTCCACATAACATACTTGAAAGCTGTTGATTTACATTTTAACTGAAGCATTCTGAAAGCATAAGCCTAGATAGTTCTCTTTTGATTATGATCTTTAAGAAATATTTTTCATAAAAGATCAATATTTTAGAAATGCAAAGTTTTATATGTAATGATATTACATTAAATAATAGCAGTGACTAAAAAGAGTTCTAAGTGACTAATTTGTTATGAGGAAATATGAGGCATAGGGAAAAATCGAGGGCTTGTAATTCTAAATTTATAAACTCAGCATTTTAATATTTAAATTATTTATAAGTTAAATTTAAATATATTTAGGTAATTTCTCTCCAAGCAAAATGATGAGAATAAAATTATATAATTTATTACACTACCATTCCTTTGAGACTATCTTTTGGTAACTCATCTAAATATGTAAAATAGAATAATCTTACTTGGAGTCTAACTATGTTCTCTGGAGGCAAAATACAAAGTTTAATAATATGCTAAGTTGATTGTTCATTTTTGTATTTTTGCATAATTTATGATTTTTAGATTAATTCTACAATCCTAAAATAATCCTAGCCCACTAGATTGACAATGACTAAACCCTTCTCCCCAAAATCCAAGGTTCTAATATTATCTGAGAATATATACAGACATGTATGTGGTCTTGCATAAATACAACATACAAGGCCCTCTCCATATAGAAGGGGTTCCATTTGTGTATGTGTGCATACCAAGTCAAAAGTCAAAAATTCAAATAGAAAAAAATTAAGTCATTCAAATTTACACATTTCTGGCTTCAAAATAGCACACGTTAAGAGTCACTGATAAGTTAATAAAATAATATTTTTAAATAAAGTCACTTAAAAGTACAATTAAAAATTGCAAACGGGAAGGGGAAGAGGATATAAAAAGAATAAGATATGTTATGCACATGTACCAACTCCTCACGAATAGTATCATCATTTGAAAGGAAAAACTAAACTACAACTTCCAGCCCCAAAATTAGCCAAGGTTATCCACATCTGTATCCATAGGCTTGCTTTTCTTCCAGGCTCATCACATACAAATCCCTTAAAGATACTATAAGTCCTTAAATTAACTAGTTGATAAGGTAAAGGGTAGCAACCTGACCTTAAGATGAAGAAACATGCTGGGCATGGTGGCACATGTGTGTAATCCCATCACTCTAGGAGACTGAGGCAGAAGGATTACAAATTCAAACCCAGCCTGGGCAACTTAGCAACTCAGGGAGACTCTTTCTTAAAAAAAATAAAAAAGGGCTGGTGATGTAGCTCAGTGTGAAGGCCCTGGGCTCAATCTCCAGTACCACCAAAAACAAAACAAAAGATGAAGAAACAGATTTAAAGGATTCAAACAAAGTTTTTAGGCAATCTTAGATCACCCATCCTAAACGATACCTCCATATATCCCCAACCCCAGATCAGTGTACATTTTTCTCTTGAGGACCCATACTCTATTTTCTCTGAGTGTGTACTTTCACTCTGTTTAATAAAATCTACTGATGCCTCTCAAAAAATGTTTAAGTTGGTAAGCTAATTAAAAAAGCAAGTGCAGATGAACTAAAATAATCTGTTATTAATAGGTAATGTATCTACATCATAGGATTTTATTATAATTAAATGAGTTAATATATGCAAAGTATAACAGAGCCTAGCTTAGAGTAAGCACAACTTAAGCATTATTTATAAGTAGTAGGAGTCGACTTAAATGTCTTTAATAGCAATAAAATGTAATTTAACTTCAGAAATGATGTTATTTTTTACTGCCTTTTTAAACTTTTTTCTTACTTACTCTCGCATCTTTGTCTCCAACAAAACAAATAACACGGAGAGATGGAACCCATCGTTTAAATTCATTCATCCAGTTGTGTAAAGTAGACTTTGGAACCAAAACCATGTGAGGTCCAGGAATGTTTCGGTAGTGTTTCAGGTAACCAAGCAAAGCAATTGTTTGCAAAGTCTTGCCGAGACCCTGCATTATCATCACAAGGAAAAACAAAATCTATAAATATAATTTCTTTAATGAAACAATATATTAAAAACATTAAAAGATATTTGCAAACTATCTCACATTAGGAATTATGTTTGCACCAATGAAAAGTAAAAAGATCTTTTTTAAAGCCAAAAAAAATTAAATTCAGTACTTACTGTGAGGATAAAAAGAAACCAAGAAAGTACACTCAGAAAGTTGAGTAACGAAGCAAATTTCTATTTAGTATATTTTTGCTCCTAGAGGAGCAAGCAAACTAATATACTAATTTTTCTAGTAGTTACAAAATGAGGCTGTGTGTGTGTGTTTCACAAAGACAGATTTCCTTTGGCAGCCTTTTAGACACTGTTCTTCCCTATTGTCCCCAACATCACTGCAACTCAGGCATGAACTATTCAGACTATGCATCTCAAAGGGTTTAGGACTGGGCACTTACACCTCACACTCTTAGAGACCTTAGAAGGCACAAAAGAACAAAGCTTTGCAGCCAGAAAGGATATTAAAGATCAATTAGTCCAGTGGACTTTTAAGAAATAATATACTGAACAGCGGTGAAATTGTCACCTAACCAATGAGAAAGGAACTGAGCTTTTAGTTCGGCCTTTTAAAACACGTTTTGGGGTTGGAGGTGTAGTGCAATAGTAGAGCACTTGCCTAGGGCAAAGATGGGATCCCCAGCACCACAAAAATACATTAGAAAATAAATAATAAAATAGCTTTGGGCTTTTTCTCTAAACAAAGTATGTATTTCCTTTTGTAAACCTAAGCTATTTTTATAGGGTTTATCTATCTAACATGTCACTTAAAGAGATGGATTTTTATGGGTGCTATGAATCAAAACTTTAAAGTGTTTATACTCTATAACAAAGTAATTCCACTTTCAAGAATTCTATGGAAATAATCTGAGAGGTACAAGAAAACTAAATTACAAGATTCTCATAGTAGCACTATAAATCAAGTAATCCAAATGAGCAGCAATAAAAGAAGAGTATAATAAAATTATGGTGTCTCTCTAGGATTATGCAATAAAAATTATTTTTATAAAATACATATAAACATGAAGAAATGAGAATACCAATAATATATACAATAGGATCTCAACTATGCAAAATAAATACCTGCAGAAGACTAAAAATTAATATGCCAAAATTTCAACTATTATTTCCAGGTGGCAGAATTATAATTTAATTTTAAATTTTTTATTTTTTCCATATTTTCTAGACTTCTTAAAGTGTAAAGATTTTTAGGTGCTTCATTTTATTTTATTTTATTTTATTTGTATAGCCTTTTATTGGTACATTTTAGGTGTACAACATAATGACTTTCATCATTGGAGATGTGCACCTTTACATACTCTCTTGGTTCTTATTTAGGTGCTTCATTTTAGACAGGTTGTAACCAAGAGGTGGTGGTTGGGGCAAATAATCCTTTTGTTGAAAAATTAACCAAATTCCTCTCCCTCTAAGCTGACTATATTCACCAAACCAGACTCTGTAAATACAGGGAGCTAATGACCCTTGATTTAAAGGACCCTCTGCCACACACCTAACAGCTGCTCAATCAAGTATGAGTACCTATGGGACTGACTACTAGACACCATAAGGCACACATTGCCACACGGCTCTTCTGAACAATAGTGTTTACAAATATGGCTCTGGAGTCTCATAAATATGGTATTGTTAGGTTAAACAGATCTAGAATCTTCTCTACCCTCTCTTAAATCCTATTTTACTAATTCAGCCTTAAAATACAATTCAATGTCTTCTCAAATACAAATACAATTCAATGTCTTCTCATCTGATGATGAGATACATCTGATGATGATGATCCATGAGCATCATCTACTGATGATGCTCATGCACCTTACATGGTCTTACTTTTTCCTCTTTGGTTATTTTACTTACATGTTCCTGATTCATTAGCTTATTTGTAAAAATATCATTTAGAACTGTACTTTATCAAGACTCAGCATTGCTCTTTACTTGTTCTTTATTCCATCTACTTATTTTTTGATTACTCACAAATCTAGATATTTACATTCATTCTTTCATGTATGCATTCATTCATTTATTCCCTTATTGTTTGGTTTATATGCCCCACCTCATTCCCAAAAAGATGTCAGGTAGCCTACAATAGAAACATGTTTCACGTGGCCTACAATGAAACACTGAACATAAATTAATAGTAAAACAGAAATAAATAGGCACCAAGGAAAAGAGGCAACAAGGAAAACAGGGCACCATTTGGGCATTCAATTTGGCTGTGCATCCTGGTAGCCAAAGTGCAACCCAAAACAAAAGCACAAGGTGGTTTTTTGGACCATTTCAAAAAAAAAAAACAGTAAAAATTTTGTGCCTGTGAAAATCTATGTCCTAGAGTTCACTGAAACATTTGCAGACTTTACAAAGTTCTTTTTTATTCTAATAACTAAATAAGGCTTCCAGGCGTGAGGGTTGGTAGTAGGTCAGGTCAGGTATTCCAAATTTGTATTAAAGACTACCAATAACTGCAGTCTATTTGAGCTACCAGCTCCTTACCATTTCATCAGCCAAAATACCATTGACTCCATTTTCATACAAGGAGATCAACCAGTTCAGTCCTCGAATCTGGTAATCTCTCAGGGCTCCTCCTTTTACATCTGAAGAAAAAAAATCAAGAATGTCTCATGCTTTCATTAATATACTCGAGGAAAATTCTTCTACAGCCAAATGAAAAATATATCACCAATGTGATGGAGCACTTACAAGAAGGGGACACCTCAAATCTAACACACACACTCGAAGTTTTTCGACTCTCTAACAGTAGCTCTTCATCTTCTTCTTGTTCCGTGCGTCGGTGGCGATAGCTGAATTGAAAAAGAAACACCTTCCTATTAACCCCAAATGCTAAGCTGTCAATACAGTCACTGTTCATTGCTGGTGTCTGTCATGGAGAAAGGATGAGTTATCTAGGACAGGGCTTGAATTTGACAGAACCAGCCTACATTTTTACTGCTAAATTGTCGTAAGAAAGAAAAATATTATTACTTTTAAAACACATGTAAAGTGCCAATAACTTTATTTCCTATACAAAGTTAAACTAAGTAACAGGGAGGGAGAAGAAGGAGGAATCGAAGGAAGGCAGAGAAAAAGAAAGGGAAGAAAGTAGAGAAACATACTCTCCAGCAGAAATTAAGCTCTGCTTTTCATCTTTCTTTATTCGAGGACGTCCCAATTTCATGCTCAGAGGAAATGTTGGAGATTTCTGCGCTGAAGGTTGAATGAAATGTGCAAAAAGTTCTGTCTGCTTCAGTAAAAATTCAAATCTCTTTGCTCGATCTGCTTTCTAATTTACGAAACAAAACAAAGGAAAAATATTTTATTCATTCAAAATTATTTAACAAAAACTTGTACTGCACTTACTTTGTACAATGTTCTAAGCACTGTAAACATACTAACCTAATTAACTCAATTAAGAAACCTATGAGGCAGTTACTAGTGTCATCCCGTTTTACAGATAATAAAAATGAGGCACAGAGACGGTTAGGAACTTGCCCAAGTGTCCACAGCTAAGTAGCAGGGTTTGAATTCAAACAGTTTGATCCTTTGAAGCCAAATGATCTAAGTCTTAGTCAATGCTCTAAAAAGTACCTTTCTTGGAACTGAGAGTGTAGCTCAGTAGTAGTACACATGCGGAGGCCCTGAGTTCAATCTCCAGCACCCTCTCCCCAAAAAGAAGAGGTCTTCATAAAGAATCAAAATTGGAAAACAAATCCTCTTTCCAAAACATGATTTTCTTTTCTTAAATAGTAAGGAAATTAAGCATCGAGTATATATCTCAAACACACAAATACAAATTATTAATTATGATATACACATACCATAAAATGAACTCTTGAGTGCAACTACAAATAACTGAAACCCAAGAACACAGCATCATCTCTCAAAATATTTTCATTGTCAAGGTACAATAACATAAAAAATTCTTCTTTTCTATTACAGTGATCTGGAAAAACATCGCTTCTCGGCCTTTTGGCTAAGATCAAGTGTACAATGATCTGGAAAATTATATTTTCTGCTAGCAGTAGAAACTGTTTCTCTCCAAAGAGAACAGGATTTAGTGAAAAACATATATACACATACATATATATGAAGCAGTTATATATTAAATATTAAGAGTTTATGTACATTCTAATTCTCAATAAACTACAAAAAGTAATGTAATTGTACCATATAAATACAATAAACACTGATTCACTAAAAAAAAATCAAAGATACATATCTCATTCCTGATTTTAAAAAATGAAAATAATTTTTTATTCAAAGTCACTTTCTGACCACAGGGTAAAGAATACTTGAGCTAATGAAAGATACATAATTAATAACATCAGAAACTTACAGAAGAGTTCATTAACATAAATATGAGTTAGGCAAACATATTCAGACCACTAGCTGGAAGGAGGCCAGCTTTCCATTTTATGTCATCCTCACTGGAATGTTGTTTTTAGAGTTATCATTAACTCTAAAACATTAACTGTGCCATTAGATGTGGCCTTAAACATTAAGACATAGAGTCTTATAAAAAGCTATCAACAACCCAAAAACGTGCATCTCTGCTTACTTTTATAACATTATTGCAAAAAAATTCCCTAAGGAAAAAATCAAATTGAACTACCTGTTAACTTCTTAGTGATAAAAATTAAACAATTAAGTGACTAGCAAAGCAATTATGATTATACTGCTTAAAGATGTAATATTTTCAGGCACTGGACAAATGCCCTTCCCCCAAAAAAGTATATTATCATATTATATGTTTCATTGATGTGTAGTGTTCATTCATATATTCAAAGGAAGAAGGAGAAAGAAATATAAACCTGGCATCGTTGACTAAATTTCTCTCAGGTCACAAGCCACACTGATATTACCCCTGATATTTTTATCACTCAGTAAATAAAGTATTTCTATCATAAAATACCTTACTATGGAGTAAAGGCACTGAACAAAAGTGAGATGTGGTTCTAGTCACCATATTCCAGGTAGGTTCTTCTATCTTCTATTTCCTCCTTTTAAAATGAAATTAATTTATTCAACAAAATTTATTGTGATGGATTAATACATTATTTTTCAATCTAAAATCTATGATTCTCTATGCATTATAAATACACAGGTTTTTTTTATCTTTCGCATCTCTTTTATAAAAGTTAACTATAGCATTTGCTATCCTACCCAAGAGTATGTATTTACCATTTTTTCTTCATATTCTGGGTCCATTTCCTTTTCAGATTTAGAAGCTTTAGTAGCAAGTTTGAGTTGAAACGGAGAAATGTTTTTCTAGAATTTCAAAGGAAACAGGTATCATCAAATTGCAAAGCAAGGTCTTTAAATTGGTCAACATTCTCAATTGAAGAAAATGAAAAGTAATTAAATAACCTAATAAATAAATCAGTGTGGGCCATGCATGGGCCAATGATGAGAGCATATTATGTAGCAGGGCTTATGATTAATCCAGTTCTGTGCACCTGAGGTCCAAACAAAAAAATCTGAAAAGCCAGAAAAATTACATTAATTAGAATAAAGACCAAAGGTAAATTATGGAGCCTATTTGCCCATTTTTAATTTAAAGCATAAGAAAACGTGTAATCATAAAATAAGAGATTTAAAAATCTAGAATAGGCTAATATTGTCAACCACAAACCAAAGAGGTCAAGGAATCTAGATGTTTATTCTCAGAAACACTTTATGGAATGGAAACAAGGTAGACTTTCAGAAGAAAAGAACGATTTCTCATCCTGAAAAAACACTTTTTTGAATTACTTTTATACTGAAATTAAAACATTTAAATTTTTATGCAATGCAATGTGATCATACATATTTAAAATAGTTTAGTACAACTTCAAATTGTTGATTTATGTTAACTTTAATTAGAAAGAAAGCTATTTTAAACTATTTATATTACATAAATATTTCACAGAAGCAATTTTATCAGAGCTATTAACTATTAACCATTGATATTTTTAAAGTTGTAATTTAGTGAACACTAACATTAATCAATAACTTAACAAGACTGAAATAATCTGACTGGTGGGGTGTTATCTTATACATCCTATCCTTTGAAAAGACAAGCTTATACTTGCAAATACACATACATGTATAGAATAAACTTGGGCTGTAAGAAATCAGTAAGTAAAATAATAAAAACAAAAATCTATCCACTAAGAGCAATGCCAAGATTATTTCGGTTTTAACACAGACTTCACAGAAATCAAAACACAATTATTTTAAATAAAAATTGAAGAACCTATGTCAATTTTATCATGCCTTTTATCAATCTGCTTCTGAAAACCTACATCAAAAATTAACAATAGAATGTGACCCTAAATATAAGAAAAAATGGGTCCAATATATAATGAATGTTTTTCAATGTTTACTAAGATTTTTATTTTGAGGAAATCCAAACTAAGATTATGGAATTTGGCCCTGGTCAGAGTCTTACTTTGGAGTACTGATCAGATAACAACCATCTTGACTTATAGCACGTCATATGTAAGTAAGATGTTTTGAATGTAATCTTGAATGAATAGCAATAAAAAACTGCCAAAGATCCCCTCAAACCCACACTTTAAAACTGTCACATATATTACACATCATATTTATTTCAAAAGCAACAAGAAAAGTTTGGTATCAATATCCACTCTTTTATCATTCTTTAAAAGGCCAAATGAAATCTGGTTTTCAAGTTTCAAAACAGCAACAATTACATCACCTCATATATGCAAATATATATCCAACAGAGTGAGAAGTAAGCTTTGCTTACAGAAAATTCAAGCTTTAATCTTAGAAAAACATTTTATTTTATTCATTACTTCTTTGCTCACCTTATGGGAGAATTCCCTAAAAATTTAATTAGATGCTAATTAAAATCCCTATTCTTGAACAGTGCTATTAAATGGCATGGATAAGTACTTAAGTGACACTATCTTCCACAACAATTTTTAAAATACCTACCTTCTAACCCTTCTCCTTTATATATGTGTATATGTATAAGTTTTCAAAATTAAATTTCTCATCCAGGAAAAGATAAAAAGTGTTCTTGTGGATTTTGTCATCTGGTAGTGTAGATGCAATGGGAATGCAGCACAAGGTCATCAAAAGGCCTTGTCTTAAAGATCATGACCTTTTCTTGAAGTTTTCACTACCAAAATACTATCTCCCAGTTTCTACAGCATTAAGTTATCTGCCACTGAAACTAAGTTCAAGAAACAGAGGGTAAGGAAAAATACCTTTAAGCAGCTCAATATCACAGATCAATTCACTAATTCTCATCAGCCTTATCAACACAAAAGTACTCTCATTCAAAAACCTATCTGCTTTTATTTGATACACAATTCTAGCTACTTTGATAATTTGGCTTCCCATACCCCAGATAATAAAAGCCCAGCAAATGATGTAGCAAAGACCACTAAAAGAAGGCACACCACGGGCAGCAAGAAGAGATGGAAGAAGTCCAGTAGACTAAAATGTGTGTTCTGCAGTAGCATCTCTTACCCTTGGTATTATTGTACTTTAGCATTGTTTTAAATGATTACAGTTTTGCTATATCTATGCTCTGTATCATAAATTCTTTCTCATAAAAGTACATGAGGTACTTTAAAAGTGACAGCTAAGAGCCTGGCAGTTGAGAGAAGAAACAGAAAAATTATTAAAAATCAACACAGTACTCAAAGAGTCTGAAAAGTGGTTAATGAGGGGAAACAATCTGCTGGATCTCAACTGCCTTTGTGTCACTGTCAGTGTACAAGAACTGATGGTCATGAAAGAAAGGTTACTCTGCACTTTTAGTATATCCCTTAAGGAGTCAAAGTACTATGCAATATATTTAAAATGTTAAGTAAAAATTAAAAATAAAAAGATGTAGTAACTAAAGCAGTAAACTTTAGGTATCCAGGAAGTTCCTGCCATGTAGTACCTCATTTCCCTATCCTGAGTGGACAAAGGAAGTACCATCAAGACAGTTTCTGGTGAGGCTACAGAGTTTAGGACTATATAGATATCAATTCAGTGCTTATTATACAGGTTTTTTATTGATTCCCAGTCTTTTCACAATTCAAAACACTTATACGATCTGGAAATTCAACATTTACTTTCATATAGGAGTTTAGCACTTAACACTTGCCCAGTCTAGGGAATAAAAAACACCTAGACACATTTCTAAATTTCCCAACATTTAGTTTATGCTGATGTTTGATATTTGGCCCAGCTTCAATCATTGATATTGTCTTACTGACTCAAGTACCAAATAGATCTCGAACTGCTTGTTTTCCCCGGTTTTCCTGTTTTCCCTGGTTTTCGCTTAGCACTACAATGTCTTTCATTGAGTCAACCTTGTAATGGAAAAACATGTCATTTAAGCCACTGATGAATTTTAAATTACTCTAATTCAAGGCAAAAGGTGTTAATTTCCCTCCAAAGCGGTGCATTTGGTAGTACAGTACCATATAATGATTCAGACAAAGCCACTTGAGATCTCTACAGCATAATTTGCATTACCCACCGTTTTTCAAATTAGGATATGTCTACTTGTAAATGGGGGGCGCCTCTAAAAGATTCATTTTGCAATTTTATTGAACATCAAAACTGCTTATGGTCCATCCTATTATTTATTCTTAATTTTTCAAAATGTTTCATAGTTTTCGGGGGTGGGGGGGTTGGTTTCCTTGCCTGTCTTGATCCATGTATGTATGTCTTACGGAGATAATACAGATTTTGTAGATTTGGCTTTAATAGGTGAGAGGGCGACTAAGGTACCTTAGTAGCTCCTCATCCTGGGAATGCTGGCTTTTAATTTTTTTTAATTATGAAAAAAAAAGCCTATGTGTGTCCAGGAACCAGCAGCGCCCACTAGGAGAGAGAAATGTAAACCTGGAAAGGCTTGAGGCCGGATTGGGGACCGTTTGGGTGGCCCTGGAGTGAAACACCCACTATACCGTCGGGAACGGGGCAGGAGAAGGTGAGGGGGCAGGCGCTGGAAATTATCCTAAACCAGGGTGCACGGTTCCTTGGTGTGGGGTTGTGATTGTGGGGTACGACGCGAAGAGCTCCTTTTTTTTTGAGGTGACACCTCCGCCTCAGTAGGCGGGGATCAAACGAACAAGGGAGATTTCTTTTTCTGCAACCCAAAGACCGACATTGCCAACCAAAGAAATCAATGTCTTCCGTATCATCCTGCATCCTTCCAGCACCTTGATATTCACATTATAATAATAAGCCCCAGCCAAACTCCTTTAACCCGAGTGTGGGATTGAAGGGCCCAGATTTCCCAGGCAGAAGCTGAGGGGAAGCAAGGAGAGAGAGCAAGCGAGCTAGAGAGGGAGAGGCGGAGGCTTTTTCCTGCACAGCCCCATCCCCCACCTCGTTACCCCAGTTCCGGGAAGGTAGAGGGGCCCGGGGCTGTCAAGGGGCTCCCGAGCCCCGGGATAACGGGCACCCCTCTACCCCGCGCCTCGCCGCCCGGGCCCCAGCCCCGCCCCCGCCCTCCAGGCGGCGAGAAGGAAAGGGGGAAGGGAGCGGATGCCAGACCGCCCCGCCGCCCCCCACGCGCCCGCCGCCCCCAGCCCCGCAGGGCTCCGCTGGTACCTGTTGGCACCGAAAGGTCGGGGTTTGGGCCCCTCGGAGGGGCCAGGCACCGGATTTGGCCACCACACAGGCACACACCCCCTTTCTATTTACCTCCTTCTTCTTCTCGCCCTTCTCCGTGGTCGCGGTGGCTTCGGTGGCCGCGGCGGCTGCTCCCTCCTCCTTAGAGGTGGACGGGCCCGGCTGCTCGTCCTCTATGACCACGATTGTGGCGGTCGCGTCGGCAGCTGCCACGGTGGCTGCCACTGCGGCGGTGTCCGGCTCCATGGCGTTGGAGCGGGAACGACGAGGGGGACAAGGAGAGGGATGAGTGCTTCCGTGCGGTGGCAGTGGCTGCACTAGAGAGAGCTAGATGGAGCAGAGGTGGGGAATCGCTCCGCTTCCAACCCCTTCGCTTGCCCCCCTCCTTTAAATAACCCTCAACCCTGCCCCACTTCCGTCCACCCACCCTACGTCATGGCCTCCCCCGTCACCCTCCCCCCCTTCCCCCACCCCCCCTCAACGATCGCGAGACTCCCCTTCCCCACCCAGAGCCTGGCCTGGCCCCGCATGACCAACTGTTGCCTGAGTGTGGGGCGCGGACAGGGGTGGAGGCGGGATCCCACAGCCCGAGTGCCCCTAAAAACCTCCTTTCCCACACGCCCCGACAGTGAGCCTGAACTCCCTTCGCAGATGTGTAGAAAAGGAATCCTTTCCCTTAAATCTGCTCTTTGTACCTCGGGGCGTTCTCCCCTTCTTACACAAAGAACTTTTCCTCGGCTTATTAACTGTACCTTGGAACATTGTTCTCAACATTTGCAAAGCCCAGAACCTCTCTGGGGACTGGCCTTACCCAGGTTCCTATGGGAATCAGATTGGTGATGCTATTCCTGCCTTCCTAAATTCTGCAGGAGAAGCACTCCTTCAAACACTTGATTACAAATATTCACTTACAAGGTAGAAATTGACTCTTGGTTTTTATGTACATTTGTTCTATTTTCAACTGTGGAGCTTCTCAGATGGTCAGTGTCCAAGAGCCTGTCTTTTGCCTTCACTAGTAAATTTCAAACCTCCAGGGCATCAAGGTCAAGGTCCTCCACAAAACTTGGGCCAATCCATGGTAGGTACCTAATGTTAGTAACTGAACTGAATACCTATGAGTTTTTTTCATTTGTGTTCTATTCTCATCCTCCTTTTGGGATGTAACATGCCACCAATAGTGTGCATGAATGCAGATGTAAAGGCATCTTGTAAAGGCTGCAACAGCGTGCAACTGTAATTATTACTGTTCTTATTTCTCATCATTCAATCTGATCAATAATAAGATCTACATCCTAGCCTCTAAAATTCAGTCATTACAGGAGAGACATAACAAAGCAGAGAAAACTGTATCAAACAATCACAAAATATAGTTTCCAAAATGAAGCACATACTTTCTAAAGTAAAAAGAAGTCATGATTAATTTCCCTCAATGTACCTTCCTAAATTACCAATTGGAATAAGATACGATTTAGGCAAATAGCAGGATGGCACACAGTTGACCCCAGATGTATTACTTTTTCCTGGGAATAATACCCTAAATTCCTTTTTGTTTCAAAACCGTGAGTTCTGAATATGCAAAAACCTTTTGACACTGTAACCAACACTGGTCGTTTACACCTTAATGTGAAAGTGTCAGATCTTGTCCAGAGACTGGTAATGAAAAGAAAAAATGAGCCAGAGAAGATACTGGTGAGTGAAGGGGTATGCTAGTGAGAGAAGAAACGAAAGGCTGGTAGCACTAGCTTTGTTCTGATTTTACCTTCATTATGTTCTTCTCCTTTACTTTAGATTCCTCTCCCCATTAACCATGTTTCTCATCCATGTACTATCTAATAGGAATAGGGTGTGTCAGTATAAAAATGGTTCCTATTCCTGGAGTATCAACTTCAAAACAAAATAAATTGGATGGAATTAAGTCATTTATCTGACCATGTGAATATGATTTTTTCTATTAAAATGTGCAGATATATTAAGGAATGGGATGCAAAATGTGAAGTGTCTTCAAAAAGAACCTTGTGACTTAGGCATACTACCTCTTTCCCACCTGCAAGTCTCCTCAGTCATTAAGGGTTCTTTGATGGAAAAAGTTCACGAAGCACTGAAATAGGAGGATGCTAGAATACATGCATCCACCTGAGGAGAAAGAACCTTTCAGACAGTGGCAGTGGAGGGTTTCTTTTTCATTAAACTGCACTAAAGGAAAGAGAATTCCCCTTTCATTGCCTGGGGCTTCAAAGGAGAAAGACTCAAAAAATATTTGTTGACTGTTGATGTGTTCCTGCTTGCAAGGATACTTTGTCCCATTGTATATCTCTTTGCCAAGGTACAATATTTGTTACATCTTGGAATAAATGCACTGTTGTGAGAAAATCTGGGGAAAGCATATCCCTTTATAGCACCATTTCTGCAGGAACATGTGTTCCAAGCTTCAAAAAAAATAGAAAATGATTTTTGGGACAAAAATATGTTGGCAATTTTTCATGTACATATAATGTGATCCTTGCTCTTCAAGCCAATATGGTCAAAAGTGCTACCAAGTATGTTAATATGGCTGGATAAATTGATGCTTAGTCAATAGACCTTTCCATGGGATTCATGCAAATATTGCCCTTTAGATTATGGCAACAGCTGCTATTTACAGAGCATGTACTATCCTCACTTGTAAAACTGCCTAAAAGTCATGATCTGTAGGCATTGTTCAAGTCACCTCCTTTCTAAGCCTACTCAACATCTTGTTACTACTTTATTTGTCTTTTAATTTGAAATGATCTTTAATTGCTCTACTCCATTGGAGTTGGAGAACAAAACAAACTTTTACTTAGAACTTTGAGACCATATTTGGAAACCTTAAAACTAATGTCTATCTTCAGTACCATTTGTCCATTTTGGCAGATTGTCACATTGTAGCGGTTGTCCCATAGTTATTTTCACATAGCCAACCTTGTTTAGTAGCTACCAGAATGCATGTCCACTAGTGGTATTAGTTTTATAAAGGTCATAAAGACAAAGTCAAAGGCTTGGCTTTCTTTCTTTTACCCTGTATCTGAAATTTATCACTGAAACTAATATGACTGAAACCACATTGTTATCCCACTGATCTTTAGGAGCTGGTACAAAAGATTCTGGTCACAGTAACTTACTTTCAATTATAACCATTTTGCTCATATCAATAAGCTTTCTCACCATTTTTCTTAAAAATATTTATGATAGTAACATTTAAAAAAATATTTCCTTGGTGCCCTCTATATTAATGAAAAGGTAATGGTAATAGCTAGTATACTCTACTATTTCTTGAAGTCCCACTATTGTACCAGATACTATGATAGATTCTGAACATTTGATGTTGCTAATGATCCCAATAACTCCATGAAATGCATATTATCTCCATTTTATATATGAGAAAATGGAAAGCTAGGCTAAATAACTCATCTAAAATTCCATAGCTAGTTAGTGACAGAAGCCAGATTCAAATCCCAGACTTACTGGCTCAAAACTTCATCTTTCCACTTCATCTTTATCAAGTTCCCTGTTCTTTTTTTTTTTTTTTTTTTTTGGTACGGGGAATCGAACTCGGGTCCTTGTGCTTGCGCAGCAAGCGGCGAAACCACTGAGCTAAATCCCCAGCCCAAATTCCCTGTTCTTCACAGAGCTCCCTCCTTCCTGGACAGTAGAAATCATAATGAAAAAACTCCTGAAAAAGTATTTCTGCCATCTGTCTCTGTGGTGTTCCCTTTTCAATAAATTCTCAGAACAGTAATGGTTCTTAGGGCAGTTAGTTGCCGAGATCAGGAAAATCTAATAGAAACAGTTTAAATGTCCAAGAAGAGGAGATTGGCAAAATACTGACTCACACATTCATGAATGGACTACTACACAAGTGTTAAAAATGATTATATAAATAGATACCTGTTGACACACAAATATGCTCCAAATATATTGCTGAGTGAAAAGAGCAGGCACAAAAATACAATGACCCCATTTTTTCAAAACAGAAAAGAAACTATTTACATAAATATATTTCCACAAAAGAAAAAACCTAGAAAGATCTCCAAATGTTACCAGCAGTTACAGCAAGATGATAGGATTTTTACTTTTGCTTTTCTGTTACATCGTTTCCTCAATGAATGTGTTTTTTGTATAATAAAAACATTTAAAAAGATTAATGGCAAAACATTTCTCAAAGCTAGACTTATTGAAGTAATACCTAATGGAAGTAGCAGCTAGTAGATAGAGTGTGTCAAGAAAGGGAAAGAATATTACACTGAAGAGAAAATGCAGTGGCAAGGTGTGTAATGTAACAGACGCAATATAAATTGACTGTCTATAGTAAAGTTACCTGGTTGAAGAATTGTTTCTATCCATTACCATTTTAAACTCTATATATTAGGATTTTTTTCTTTAAAAAATTCTCTCACAAAACTCAGCTTAGGAAAAAGGTATAAATGATTTGTTAAAGTACTCTCAACCTCAAAATTCTACCCATCCATAACAGCCCTAAAACACATGCTAACTAATCTGAATTGATTTTCCTAAAGGCACAAAGTTATCCATGGTAAAAGTTAGTAGAGGTAAAATACCAGTTATTACCAGCTTCAGCTCTAAAGTCAGAAAGACTTGGAATTTAAATTCTACCAACTTATTTAACTTCTCTAGCCTTTAGTCTGGATCTGTAAAATGGATATAATAATACCTAACGCAAAGGATTTTATACACTTAATATAAATATATATATATATATAGAGAGAGAGAGAGAGAGAGAGAGTATGGTCTTGGTATGTAATGTTTACTCAATGGATAATAGTTAGCAAAAAGTAAAATACAAGGTGATGCTATCTATGATCTTTAGACTGAGCCAAGGAAAAGACCAGGATATAAAAAAGTAAGTACTGGAAGTTAGTCCTAAACTAAAGTGGGGATAGGTAGAACTGTTGTTTTCCAAGGTAATTCACTCTGTTTATTATCATTTTTTAGGGTGAGCAATTTGGTACAGTCACACTTCCCCAAAGGTAAGTTCTGAAGAAAAGCAGTAAATAAGAGAGGCTAAGGACACTTCTTTTATATAGTGACCTCCCTGAGGCCAGAGACCATAATATCTTTGTTAAAATGAGGCAGAAGAGAAAGGGTTCAGGGACTGGCTGTCTAGCTACATCAGCTCCTTCACCTTGTACAGTGTGGTCCATGGTTTCCCCCATTTTTCTCCTTCTATCTTGCCATAGGTGCCCATTTTTGCTAGATTACACATGCATAAGAATACATCTTTTTAAGCTCTTCAGGCCTCATCCCTAAATAGTTTCCATTATTTATAATCAGTTTGAAATATGATCTGAGCTCAAATTAAATGTTTCTTAAATAAGAATCAGGAGAGATTATGTAAAGGTGCAAATTTCCAATGATGAATGTCATTATATTGTATACCTAAAATGTGCCAATGATTAG